TCACAAGCATGGTGCAATCTCTGTTTACATACCGACATGGGACCAAAGCTTGCTTTTGCCTTTGCACGCAAGCAGAAGAAGGGGGGCAGAAGCAATTTTTTTTATTTTATTTTTTACACTGTCCCTTTCTTTCTTTTTTTTTTTGTTCACTTTTATTGTTATCACAACGAATGTAAATATCCCATGATAGCAATAGGCAGTGACAGGTATTCTTTTCTGAGAAATATGGGGAGAATTAGACTCTAGATATCTCCTCTGCCATTAAAGCATCTGAAAACACTAAGATCGTTGTGATCAGATGCTTTCCCAATTTAAAATTGGCGCTGTTAATGTTCGGCAATATGGAAATTATGAAATGCTCATAGCTTCTGGTCTCTTAGACCAGGGGTCTCCAAACTGTGGCCCTGGGGCTGGATGTGCCCCTTTGCTTATCTTTATCCAGCCCTTGGGGCAATATTATTCCCTCTGATAAAAGGCACCATTCATCTCACTGACACCAACAATGGACCATTATTCCTTCCACTGATGCCAACATTGGGGACTATTCCTCCCATTGACACCAACAATGGGCCATTATTCCTTCCACTGATGCCAACATTGGGGACTATTTCTCCCACTGACACCAACAATGGGCCATTATTCCTCCCACTGACACTAATGATGGAGCACTATTCCCCCCACTAACACCAACGATGGGGCTCTATTCTCCCCACTGACACACCAACAATGGGCCATTATTACTCCCACTTACACCAATGATGGGGCACTTTTCCCCTTACTGACACCAACAATGGGACCTAATTTCTGCTACTGACATTAACAATGGGCCATTATTCCTCCCACTGACACCAATGATGGGGCACTATTCCTCCCATTAATGCCAACACTGGGGTACTATTCCTCCCACTGACACCAAGAATGGGGTACTATTCCTCTCCCTAATACCAAAGATGGAACATTGTTTAGTCCCCCAAATACCAAAATATTTTCTACTCCCACTGGCCACAGTTCGGCCCCCCTAAAGTCTGAAAGATCGTAAACTGGCTCTTTGTATAGAAAGTTTGGACACCCCTGTCTTAGACCATAGAGATGATTGGAGCCATTCTGGTCTCTGATCAGCTCTATTTTCAGCCAGCGGAATCGCTGGCTGCACTCTCGGATTCCCCTGTGGGACAGGAGAGCCCAAGAAAACTGTGGAAGGCAGCTGGAGGGGGGGTTGTCCCTTCGCGCTGCTTGTAAAAAAAAATTCAGAAGCTAATTGGTCTCTAGGATTGCTTTTACATAAAAGCTGACCGACCAGCTGAAAACAACTATGCTAGGATGATGCATGTAGCTGCAGGCATAATCCTCTAATAACCACTCAATGTCCAGCGACGTACCAGTACATTGCTGGTCCATGTTGGGCATATATGTAACAGCAGAGAACATGGACATATGCTGAATTGGGTCTGTGGACCAAATCTTTTTTGTAATGCCCTTGTTGAGGGTTAGGCCCAAAAAAGATTTCAATTCAGAAACCGTGATAGGTTTCCATGCGATATTTCAATATTCCATTAAATTGAAATGTCCAATCTTCTGCATGCTTGATATGGCCCTAGTTGGCACACATGAAGATTTAAATCTTTCTTGATGTGAAGGTAGGTTTCTTTAAGAGAGGGTGAACACAAAGAAAAAGGAACTTCCCCTTTAAGTGATGTTGCATTTGGATGGTATCTCTTTTATCACACAGAGTGAAATCTAAAATTAGTTTGAGATTAAGGAAAGGGTGGAAACAAACTTCTTCAGGGGTTAGTTCCTCTTTAAAAGTGTAGCAAACTAAAGTGATAAATAAGTTCCATGGTGAGTAGTGCAGACTGGAACTGAAGCACTAATGTAACTTGACCTGCAGGGTGCATATGTTTCAGCAGACTCCTGTGGTTCAATGTGTTGAGAGTGTAATTAGTAGGCCACAATACAGAACTGGCCTGTTAATCTGGGCCACGGGTGTCAAACTGGTGGTCCTCCAGCTATTGCCAAACTACAAGTCTCATGAGCCATTGCAAGATTGACAGTTACAAGAATGACTCCCAAAGACAGAGGCATGATGTGACTAGTAGTTTCACAACAGCTGGAGGGCCACAAGTTTGATACCCCTGATCTAGGCCTTAGCACAATAATGCGTGAAAAAAGAATGCTAAAATGAGAAGAAAGTAACTGAACTTAGCAATGTCAGTTGCAACTTAGATGATTTGGGTATGGAGCTCTCTCACCCAATCCATGGCCTCGGTCAGGTAGCGGATAGTCTCTCTGTAGATGGGGTCCCCATGTTCTTTTGATTCCTCCATCAAAGATCACTCTAGATGACAGCACTCTGGTCCATCTGCTTGCAGGATTGGTAGTCCATTTTGTCAGCATCGTCGGTGGTCAGTGATCCCTCCTCACTCCTTCACTCTCTGCTGCCTGGCCCAGCCTGGACCTCCAGCGTCCCGCACAGCCTTCTCCTCACACCTGCTCTCCAGCTCTCACCATCCACTCTTGTCATTGGGTTCCTGAGCTTCTGTATTTATTTGTCTCCACCCATCAGCCAGCTCCTCTGGGAAATGTAGTTTGTTAGCTTGTTATTTAGCAGTGAAGTCCTGCTATCGGCCTACAAGTCCAACAAAGCTTTTCTTCAACAGAGTCTGTAAAACTGAGCTGCAGAACACTGCCATCTTGTGTCCATTTAACATCTTGCATCCTGAAGGATAGAGCAGAATCTTGGAGGCCAAGGCAGTAGAGGTTATTGGGAAGGAGTGGGTGGTCAACAGTATCAAAGACCGAAGAGAGGTCTAGTAGTATGAGTATGGAGTAGTGGCCATTGGTTTTAGCAGTTTGTAACTCATTAGTGAGTTTTAGTAGGGCAGTTTCTGTGGAGTGCTCTGAGCGAAAGTCAGACTGTAAGGGGTCAAGAAGGTTGTTTTCAGTGAGGTAGAAGCTAAGACATTGTAGACTAAATGCTTTAAAAGTTTAGAGATGAAAAGAAGAAACAAGTTGGGTCTTAAGTTGTTGGTGGATTTCAGTGAGGGCTTTTTATTTATGGGAGTGATCTGTGCATGCTTTAGCGGGGTGGGGAAGGTGCCAGTTGATAGGAAGAGATTGAAGATGTGAGTGAGATAAATAGGATAGAAGAAGATGGTGAGCGTAGTAATTGCAAGGCAACAGGATCCAGGGGAAAATTAGACCAAAAAGAAACCAAACAAATGTATTCTACTCGGTCCAAAATGTATCCTATCAAAAAATACCTGGGTGGGAGCCATACACACATCACATAATCAGGAAAAAATAGCATCATAAAAATGGCTCCTATACCAACTCCGAATTTCTCACGACTGAACCCCTTAAACCCAGTAGTGAAAGTGAACAAGACTGGCAGATGTCCTTTGAATACTTTATTCATTCTCATAAAAAAGAAACAGTACAAACAATCAAAGGTGCCTAATAAAATAAAATGTGCACCAATCATCTTCCCCAAGGTACAAATACTGTACATAATATATAATAGTTGATATCATGTGGACTAGATCCTATGGTTTAATGAAGTAAATACTGGGCACAGTTCTAAATTAATGGACCCTCAAAATCAGAAATTGTAAATGGCTGAGTATGAAGTAAAGATCCTCTCACAATCTATTTGGGTGTGCTTCCCCTTTAAATATATAGCAATCATCTGTGGCACATAAAAGTACCAATGGACAATAGATATTCCAAGATGTATGCAAATAGGTCTCCAACAGCCAAAATCTTTCTCCAACAAACATGAATGTTGTCACAGTGATCCAGAGGAGAAAATAATAGGCGAGTAATCAATCCACTTCAGATAATATATCCTTATCGCCTCTAACTTCCCTCACACAGATGTTTCAAATAGATAGACTTAGGCAATGTTGTAAAGAAAGCAAATCCTGGAATGATTTAAAGTCCATCATTTATAAGGTTATTCACTGAGGTCCAGAGGAAGAAATGGCACTTTAGTGGAGAAGACAGCATGCCATTTCGTATAAACCTCCCTCGCACATACATCCAGGGTATGTATACAAACTTATCCTTAATAAGTGGTGGAAGATTCCAGAGAAGTCTCTCATAATGCCCATAGAATATATAGAGATGATAAAGCAAAAAGTCCCAGATACTTATCAACCATCATATTTTGAGGTAAAGTAGATAGAAAATTGTTGTAAAAGTCCCAAATACTTATCAGCCATCATGTTTTGGTCCATGGCAGTTGTGTAGCATATAGCCTGACCGGTTTCACTGGCTCCAAGCGGTTACATCAGAAGCAAGCACGGGGTTGGTATAGAGGCAGAAAGTTCATTTTTATGATGCTATTTTTTCCAGGCAATTGGTTAGGCGGGCATTTGATAAAAGTTTGATAACCTCTTCAGTAGTAGCCAGTTCAAAAGAGGAAAGTGTTGACTGTGCTGTTAGACAAGGTATGTTAAGTGGGGAAGATATCTGTACAGCAGAGGTTTCCTCACATATTGCATCAATCTTGTCTTTGAAGTGATTGGCAATCTCTTGGGCAGGGAGTGAGTTAGTAGGCAAAGAGCGTGGGGGCAAAGCAGAGAATTAAAGGTAGCAAAGAGCAGATGAGAACTGGATGACAAGGTATTAATAAGAGAGACAAAGTAGGATTGTATGGCAGCATGGAGAACCAAATCACCAATTGTATAGACAAGTTTAAAGTATATTTCAAGCAGACATTTTATCATACAGCATAGCAGTGCCAATTATCAGTCATGCATAGCATGGAGATAGTACAGGTGGATTTTGCTAGCAAACATTTACCTGTAAAAAAGCAAAGACATAATGAGAAAGTGATAGCATTGGTGTTGAAACTGCAACAACACTATTTAACCACCTCACGCCCGCCATACAAGGAAATGACAGACGAGCGGTGGTTCTCTCGTTCTGGCAGGACGTCATATGACGTCCTCCCACTCTGGACACAGCGGATCAGTGGAAAGAGCCGATGATGTCGGCTCTGTCATGTGATCAGCTGTGTCCAATCACAGCTGATCGCATGTAAATAAGGAAATCCCCGTTATCTGTATTCCTCTCCTCACAAGCTGTCACGCTGACAGCTTGTGAGGAGAGCCGGTAATCAGCATTCCTCGGAGGCGACATCTACACTAATCATCAGGGCACTGATGATCAGTGCCCTGAGGATCAGTGTAGCCTCATTAGTGCCACCTGTCAGTGTCCATCAATGCCACCTGTCAGTGCCCATAAATGCCACCTGTCAGTGCCCATCAGTTCACATCAATGCCACATATCAGTGCCTACCAGTGCAACATCAACGCCACATATTAGTGCCCATCTGAGCTGCCTTTCAGTGCCACCTATCAGTGCCAGTCAGTGCCGCCTATCAGTGTCAGTGCCAGCTATCAGTATCCCTCAGTGCGGCCTGTCAGTACCCGTCAGTGCTGCCTAACAGTTCCAGTCAGTGCCACCTAACAGTTCCAGTCAGTGCCACCTTACAGTGCTGATCAGTGCCGCCTATCATTGCCACCTATCAGTGCCATATATGAGTACTGACTTTCCCTGCCCATCAGTGATGTCTGTCAATGCCCACCAGTGATGCCTGTCAATGCCCATCAGTGCCACCTACCACTGCCTCCTTATCAGTGCCCATCAGTGCTGCCTATCAGTGCCCATCACTGCAGCCTCATTAGCGTACATCAGTGAAGGAGAAAAATAACTAATTTTACAAAATTTTATAACAGAAACTAAGAAAAAACTTTTTTTCAAAATTTTCTGTTTTTGGTTTGTTTAGCAAAAAATAAAAAAACTCAGTGGTGATTAAATACCAGCAAAATAAATCTCTATTCGTCTCAAAAAAATGATAAAAATTTAATATGAGTACACTGTTGCATGACCGCGCAATTGTCATTGAAAGTTCGACAGCGCTGAAAGCTGAAAATTGGCCTGGGCAGGAAGGGGGTGAAAGAAACCCTCAGAAAAGGTATATGGTGTCTGTGACTTCCCCATAAGCTGAACTAAATTTATGTATTTGGCATTTTGCACAGCAAAGTAGTGGCTGGCCAGAGAGGGATTACTTTGATCCAGTTGGCAATCCTGAATGGTTATATGCAACTAAGAACCCTTGATTGTTGTAAATGTTTGCATAAATATGTAAGCATTTGCAAATTTGCAAGCATTACACTTGAATAAACTTTATCCTTTTAAATAGAACACTAAAATACCTCTCCTCAGCATAGTTTTACATTTTACTGGGCGGTATCTAGAATGGCATGGACATGCAACAGCAATAAATGCATGCAACCTGTTTTGGGCATTTTATTCATATTGTACTAATAACAAATGTATATAAAAAAATAAATAGATGAAAATGCTTGTCCCCTGCCTGTTAAGTTGATCCATTGGTTTGAATAGTTTCTGCTTGGTTAATTTTTATATATATATATATATATATATATATATATATATATATATATATATATATATATATTTTCCAGATATTTTTTTTAAACCACAAACATGATTAAAAAGCAGAAATAAGTTTAGGGGTTAAATATTGCAATCAAAAGCATAGCTTAAATAGTTCCTGTAATATTTATTTTGAAACATGTTGTGCAAACTGCTGGTTAATTGTATTGCAAAGAAAGTGTTTCAACAATGGACAATGGTATGTCATTGGTAACATTGTGTGTTTCAGCAATAGTATGTCTAATAGAAAATTAGGAACAGTGATAACCATTAGTATGGAGGTAGATAAAAAACATTCAAAATATTTTTTCTAAAATTACAGGTATTGAAAAGGTGGAATTTTTATTCAACATCCTGCCCACTACATTTTTCTTCATGACAAAAGTCTACACATGGAGCTAAACAAAAAACAATATGTGAACTTCACCAGAAGCCTGGCCATAGCATAAAACTAAAAAATTATTAAAAACCAAAACAATAAAAGGAAATAAAACACGCAAGGACTCGCCAGGCAGTTGTACATGTTTATTACTCGAGTTCAATGTATTTTATCCAATTGACCTCCAGAAGGTTTTACCCCCTTCATGAAAAATAAACATTTTTTTCATTATTTTTACTTTTTTTTTTTTAAATACTTTCATAAGAGTAGTTCAGTGCCACTACTCTGGGGATGAAGGGGGATCAAGGATTTTGTTTTCTTTTACACATTATGATTGCTTTTACAATGGTGATCACTCTAACAGCAATGTTTTGAACTGTCATGAATGGATTACTTTCATAACAGCTGTGATTACTAGTGATCTGTGATTGGCTACAGCTAATCACATGGTACAGGGTGCTATGACTGACCCAGGTACCATGTGATAGCTGTGGGCCAATCACAGCATCACTCTATAGAAAGCATAGTTGTTATGAATGACAATCATTCGTAACCACTTTGTTGACATTGTGATCATGTGATCACATAGCGCTGTGTCCAGTGGATCATGCACATCTGATCCAGTCTGCCTGTGCTGTCCGCCTTCAGTAAATGTACTGTGGGCGGACGGCAAGTGGCTATAATCTCTTTCATTAAAAGATTTTAAAAGAAATGTTCCGAATACATTCTACAGATATGCCATTTCTCTGGCGTAGCTTATCATTGGTAATTCCAGGACTTTTTGTCAAAACTTTGCTATCAACAGTCAACATTTGCTACCAGTATATCCAAAGTTGGTCGTACACGTTGGGTTGAATGTGAGAAATAAATAGATTTCCCCCATCCGTACTAAACAGCATTGATGGATGAATATCCTGCTGCTGGCTATTCTATATTTATAAGCCTTTAGCATTCCAGTCAACTATCAAATACTATGGTGTAGCATATCCCTAATATACTATAAACCAAAAATTAATTGACCCAATAGGACTTTTAATGTACAACAACAGTACAAATAGTTGAAATATTCTGAAAACCAACTAAACTTGAATCAATGCAAGGTTAAAAAAAAGACACTTAAAAAAAGAGTGCTGTCTACATGGAGCATAATAATCAGCTTAGAAGCCTCCATACGGGTCCTATGAGAACATATAAAAAGTGTGTTATTATGTCTATTAATTATACAATCAGAGATATTTATCAAAATGTATATATTGGGTTCAGAGCACTTTGACATGTTTCGTTGACAATATCACTTCTTCAGGAGGAATAAAGGAATAAAATTAATAAATCGCAACATTCCAATCTTTAGATGTGGTGGCTGCGCTAGTTTTAACTTTTTAGCCTTTTTCTCTCTGTTTTCACCTGGTGATCAGGCCAGTAATACACCTTCTGTATTAGCGTGCCTACACTCTGCATGAAGGAGCATCAGAGACACCTTGGACAGCAGCACTCTCAGTTTAAGGAGAGGGTAATGTAGATTGCAGGTACACCAAAGTCAAAAACTGCTGTCAAATGCTAGCTAACACTTTTTAAGCAGTTACAGCAACAGTTTTTTTTTTATTTTTGGGATAAAGGTTTTCCGTAAAGTAATAAAATATGTCCATTGTAAGCACCTCTGTCACTGGTCAAGGGTATGTCTCAACCTCATAACTGCTAAATGTTCAGGACAGCTTGTTCTGTTGAAAAACAACAAACTAACTGGCTGGATCACCAGATGAAAATTAAAGAAAGAAAGCCTAAAAAAGAATGCAACCATCACATCTAAGAATTAGTAAGCTGCAATATAATAAATAGGTGCTTTTGGGAGTATAAATCTTGCAAACTCTCAATGGGTTCAGAAAGAACAAATGTGTAATGTTTAAAGTGAAACTAAAGGCAATAAAAAAAAAAAAACAAACATGTTATACTTACCTGCTGTGTGCAGTGGTTTTGCACAAAGCATCCCTGATTCTCCTCTTCTCAGGTCCCCTGCCGGCGCTCCTGGCCCCTCACCCCTGCCTAGTGCCCCTAGAGTGAGCATGGTTGCACCCTAGCAGGTTCGCTCCCAAGCTCCTGCTCTGAGTGTCCATTAATGCAAAGAGCCTTGGCTTTGCCCCGTCCGCTCTCTCCCCTCATTGGCTGTAATTGACAGCAGCGGGAGCCAATGGCTCCCTCTTCTGTCTCAGCCATTGAGGAGGGAGAGTCCCCTGAGAGCTGAGGCTTTCATGCACATCACTGAATCACAATGGGGCTCAGGCAAGTATTGGGGGGGGGGGTCTGCTGCACACAGAAGGTGTTTTGTATGCAGGTAAGAATTCTGGGGCCTTTACAACCACTTTAAATGTTTCAGTATCTTAATCAGATGACACATTATCTCCAAACTAGAGGGTGCATGCTCCTTACCTAAATAGTAGTACAGGTAATATAATGTCCTACAGTGCTGTGTATGAGGTTGCTAACAAATCCACCTCCCTTTCTAGGATATAACCAGGACCAGAGTGAAAACTGGCCTACTAAAAATTCTGTAAAATAAGTGTAGAACGTGCCACCTTAACCACGTCCGAAAAAAAAACATATTATGGTATAGCTTACCACAGTGATGGCTCTAACCTGGGTCATCCTCCTTCCCGGGTGCACAGGACACACCAACTATGTTGATTCTCCTAATGTAGCTCCCATCAAGTGCCTCCTCCCACCACGCCTTGGAACTATGCCCATTAGTGCGCCAAAATGATGCCATGCGCACAAGATGTAACATCATCAGGTAACTACGGTGTATCGCACAGGATGTTCATTATTACATCCTAAAAGCCCACACCCACAGCTGGAAAACCCAAACAGTGACTGCAGTTGTGTCGCAGCACTCAGTAGAAAGGTCAGTGTCAAATGATGTGAAATATTTAATGTCAAATGTGTTTGCACTGTAATTGATGTTTATCACTGGATTCTCCACCAGAGCTGCTGGGTCTAAAAGCTGAATCTAGCTAAAGAAATTGTTTCACTAATGAACAACTTCTTGGCCATGGTTCTGTCCTTATTATGATCCATCTTCCTGTATAAACAATATTTTAAATGTAATTGTACAATATGCTTCTTATAGAACCACACCCATTTAAAATGAATGCCCCACCCAAATTAAAGTATATTCTCTGCCCACAGTTGCTTGTTGGATGCACAGCAAAAAAAAAGTTGTTCCTGGAGGTTTCTTTGAAATGCTGCCACCTATGCCCATACTTGTTATCAACTGATCATACATGCAACATTTTTCACAGCTAGGTTATTTTTGTTAGCTGATAGCGGTCTGAGCATGTGATCTTTGATATACTAAGCACTCAGTGTGGCTGTAAAGTCACAAAACTATAAACAAAAATAAGGGACAGAGCGCCTTCTCCTTATGAAAGATAACTTTATTCATTGGAACAGCAACAGAAAAAAAAATAATAATAAAATAAATTACGAGAATAAAACCTATATAGGTCATCCATATAGTGAACTTGGTCTACAGTTCAGGTTATTAGAGATGACAAGGGGGCACTCTTTACATTTGGAGAAAAAGAGATTGACCCTCCACATATGGAAAGGCC